GTGGCAGGCAGGTGACGTGGCTGTCGGGGGAGTTCACCTGTCGCCGATGTGCCTGTATTGCCAATGGGTTTGCTTTTGTGCAAAGTCTCAGAGGGGCCTGTTAGCCTGGGAGGCGCTTTCGACCCTTCAGATGCTCTTGGCAGGGGCCCGGTTTCCTGTTTCGTGCTGTGGTTTGACTTGTGTTTTCTGTGGTTTGATCTTGCAAGGTAGAGACCCAGCAGCCATGGTGACAGGATTATTTGAAGTGATGGCTGCATATGCTCATCAGACGGGCTTCGAGCCCCCAGAATGGCCCCATATCTCAAAACAGGTCAGGCTCAAGTTGCTTAGCCCCCTCAAGTTGCTTAGCCTCCTGCCTCAGTTTCCCCCAACGGTTTGGCAAGTCCCAACAAGGCAATAGTCTCTTGATCAGCTAAGAGCCATTGAGGTAAGAGAGCGGGATCTCGCCCCCAACCACTCGCCTGTTTCTTTGGGGGTCACTGCAGTAAGTGTGAACACCGGTTTGGGGTATTAATTCCTGTTTGTTTCTCCTTCCCTTTTAAAGCTTTAAAGTTGCGGACAAGCCTAGCGCTCAAAGAGTTCGTTATAGCGTCAAGCCAGCCGTGCAGTCTGAGTTTTGAAATGAATTCTAGTCGACTTCAGAACGGCCAGACGGGGTCAGACCAAGGTTCATTTAGCCCCGTGGCCTGTCGGCCCACAGCGCCCAATTCCAGCTGCCCCAGAGGGAGGGAACGGAGCAGGGAATCATCCAGTGATCCCTCCTCTGTCGCCCATTCCCAGCTTCTGACAGAGGCCAGGGACACCACTCCTACCATCTGGCAACCACGTCTGTACATAGCATTCAAGCTGCGGGCGTCCCATGGGTTTATGTAGAGGCAATACGATGTTCTCTGTCTCATTCTCGATTCCTTTGGAAATTACTCCTAACACTGTGTTTGCTTTTCTGCTGCCGCTGCCACTGAGCGGATGTTTTCAGAGAACGATCCACAGTGTCTCCAAGATCTCTTGAGTAGTTGTAGCTAAATTAGTCATCATCATATTGCGTGCATAGTTGGGATTACTTTTTCCAATGTGCATTACTCTGCATTTATCAACATTCAGTTTCATTTGCCATTTTGTTGCCCAATCCCATAGTTTGGTGAGATCTTTTGGAAGCTCTTCACAGTCTGCTTTGGTCTGAACTATCTTGAGCAGTTTGGGATCATCTGCAAATTTTCCCGCCTCCCTGTTTACCCCTTTCTCTAGATAATTTATAGATAAGTTGAATAAGATTGGTCCCAAGGACAGACCTTTGGGGGACCCCACTAGTTACCCCTCTCCACTCTGAAAACTGACCATTGATTCCTACCCTTTGTTTCCTGACTTTTAACCAGTTCTCAGTCCATGAAAGGACCTTCCCTCTTATCCCAAGGCAGCTTCCTTCGCGTCACAGCCTTTGGTGAGGGACCTTGTCAAAGGCTTTCTGGAAATATAAGTACACTAAATCTACTGGATCCCCCTTGGCCACATGTTTGTTGACCCTCCTCAAAGAACTCTAGTAGATTAGTGAGGAGATGAGGGACCTTGTCAAAGGCTTTCTGGAAATCTAAATACACTAAATCTACTGGATCCCCCTTGGCCACATGTTTGTTGACCCTCCTCAAAGAACTCTAGTAGATTAGTGAGGAGGAGTTCCCTTTAGAGAAACCATACTGACCTTTCCCCACCAAATTATGCTTCTCTCTGTGCTTGACAATTCTGTTCTTTACTATAGTTTCAACTAATTTGCCCAGTACTGATCTTAGACTTACTAGTCTGTAATTGCCAGGATCTCCTCTAGAGCCCTTTTAAATATTGGTGTCACATTGTCTATCTTCCAGTCATTAGGTGCAGAGGCCGTTTTAAAGGACAGGTTACAAACCACAGTGAATAGTTCTGCAGTGACCCATTTGAGTTGTTTCAGAACTCTTGGGTGAGGCCATCTGGGCCCGGTGACTTGTTACTGTTCGTTTATCAATTTGTTCCAAAACCTCCTCTAATGACACTTAAATCTGGGACAATTCCTCAGCTTTGTCTCCTAAAAAGAATGGCTGAGGTTGGGAATCTCCCTTTTGTTCTCAGCAGTGAAGAACAATGCAAAGAATTCATTAGCTTGTCCGCTACGACTTTATCATCCTTCAGGGCTCCTTTAGCATCTCCATTGTCCAAGGGCCCCACTGGTTGTTTAGCCGGTTTCCTGTTTCTGATGGACTTTAAAACATTTTGCTGTTACTTGTTGAGTTTTTGGCTAGCGGCTCTTCAAACTCCATTTTGGTTTTTCTTATTACAGATTTACACTTAATTTCACAGGATTTATGCTCCTTTCTATTTTCCTCACTAGTGTTTATCTTCCACTTTTTAAATTATGTCTTTTTTCTCACACTGCTTCTTTTATTTGGTTGTTAAGCCACAGTGCATTTTTTTGGTTCTTTTACTGTGTTTTTTAATTGGGGTACACATTTAAGTTGGGTCTCTATTACGATGTCTTTGAAAGGTTTTTATGCAGCTTGCAGGGATTTTACTTTTGTCGCTGGACCTTTTAATTTCTTTTTACATAAGAACATAAGAACGCTCAAAGAACTCTAGTAGATTAGTGAGGAGGAGTTCCCTTTAGAGAAACCATACTGACCTTTCCCCACCAAATTATGCTTCTCTCTGTGCTTGACAATTCTGTTCTTTACTATAGTTTCAACTAATTTGCCCAGTACTGATCTTAGACTTACTAGTCTGTAATTGCCAGGATCTCCTCTAGAGCCCTTTTAAATATTGGTGTCACATTGTCTATCTTCCAGTCATTAGGTGCAGAGGCCGTTTTAAAGGACAGGTTACAAACCACAGTTAATAGTTCTGCAGTGACCCATTTGAGTTGTTTCAGAACTCTTGGGTGAGGCCATCTGGGCCCGGTGACTTGTTACTGTTCGTTTATCAATTTGTTCCAAAACCTCCTCTAATGACCCCTCAGTCTGGGACAACTCCTCAGCTTTGTCTCCTAAAAAGAATGGCTGAGGTTGGGAATCTCCCTTTTGTTCTCAGCGGCGAAGACAGATGCAAAGAATTCACTTAGCTTCTCCACTACGACTTTATCATCCTTCAGGGCTCCTTTAGCATCTCCATTGTCCAAGGGCCCCACTGGTTGTGTAGCCGGCTTCCTGCTTCTGATGGACTTAAAAACATTTTGCTGTTACTTTTTGAGTTTTTGGCTAACGACTCTTCAAACTCCATTTTGGCTTTTCTTATTACAGATTTAACAGGGATGTTCAATTTAATTATATGCTTATCACTATTTCCAAGCGGACGAGCTACAGTCACCTCTTGGACCAGCCCCTGTGCTCCACTTAGGACTGAATCAAGAATTGCCTCTCTCCTACGACTTAAGAAAACTTTGCCAGAACTTACAGTCAGGAAGAGGGAGGAGGTTTAGTCCAGCCAATAGTCAGCCTGGTCAGCTGTGAGCAGGGCAGCCCAGGGGGCTGTAAGTGAGGAGTTTAAGGTAGAAACTCGGGGGGGAGGGAAGCAAAAGGCTGATTTGGTGACAGGAGTCGCCTTCACTGTCTGCTTGAGGCTTGCAGCGCTCTAGGGAGGAAATTAACCCATCAATGACAGTGGCTCAGAAAGGCCCAGCGTGCTTCGGAGAAGCAAGATCCGACTGTGAGGGAGTGAACCCCCTACTAGGGGCAGCGCCAGAGGGGCAACCGGCCTTTCTCCTAGGGATGCAGGAGTGAGGGTATGTCTACACTACAGCACTAATTCGAACTACTTAATTCGAACTAGGCCTTAGTCCTCGTAGAAAAGCTTTGGAGAAGCAAGATCCGACTGTCAGGGAGTGAACCCCCCGGTTGGGTGCGGCACCAGAGGCGCGACCGGCCTTTCTCCAAGGGATGCGGGAGTGAGAGGGAGAGAAGGGGGCAGGTGTCAAGCACAGGACACAGCAGAGGAAACAGGCTGCGGGTGAGAGCGAGCAGCTGCCAGCCGGGGGTCACTGGCCGGGTACAGATCAGACCGTGGTCGGCTGCTGGGAAGAATCAGAGAGATGGGAAGTGACAAAAGGAGTCAGAGAAAGTTCAGACTTGTCAGAGCGACGGCTGCCTGCTGTAGGAACCCTCCAAGGGAGAGCAGGCAGAGGGGTGGAGAAGGAGCCGCGATGGTGACCAGACAGGATACGAGTTACAGGAGGAGGCAGGATCAGCTCCTACTCCTATGGATACAGTGGAGCTGAGAGAAACAGCGGATGGGTCCAGCACTAGAAGGAAGGCAGGGGAGTTAGCTCGGGCTGGCGCGGTACCTGTAGGAGCGGGGAAGGAGCCGGAGTCTCGGGAGGCGAAGGACGTTCACCGAGCAGCAGCCGTCAGCGAAACGGAGCCCTAGAGCGACGCCCTGAAGGGGAAGTTGGGGTCGTCTCAGAGGCGGTGGCCTGTGAAGCGAAGGGTGAGCTGAGCGGAGCTCGGGGAGGAGGCTGTGACGGACTCCCCAGCGCTGTGTGAAATGGACTTACAGATACAACTCTGCATATATCAATGGTGGGTGGGGCAAATCGCGTCCTGTGAGCTGTCAGTCTTCATGCCTCCAGCCAATGGGTCTGTGCATCTTACCTGGGGTGCTCAGCATCCTTGAGTGAGGAGCTAGGTGTGTGGGGGGCGACGTGCTTTAGGGTTTCAAATGTGCGAATGACGCCAGCAAGGTGCTACCCACAGCGTCTAGGTGACCGACTGCAAACAAGCCCCTTTCTCCTTTGAGTCCTAGCGGTGGTTGGCCCTAGGAAGTCATGTGACCTCCCCAACTGGTAGGGGCCGGCCAGGCGACTTCCCTCGGAAGGGTGGGATGTAGAACCAGAATTCCCGCCCAACGGGGGAATCTCCAAGCGTGGGAAGCGAGCGGCGTCTTGGTCCGTGGCTGGCGCGGCTCTCCAAGCGGAGGACTCGGGAGCCCAGGAGAGGAACCGCCCTGGCTGGAGGCCAAGCCAGAAGGAGAGCCGTGCAGGGGAGCTGGTGACACGTTTGCACTGAGGTTTTAGTGTGCGAATGAGCGACGTGTTTTCTGTTATTCTGAGCCTGTCATCCCCTGTGCTCTGCCTGTTCTCACTTACAGCCACTGAACCCCCTGCTTGCACTTCCTACAGCACTTTCATTTGCTGCCAAACCCAGTGGAAATTATTGTTGCCGGGGGGGGGGAGCAATGTTCACATTCCCCCTTCGTTGCTAAAGGGGGCTGGCCGAATAATCATGTGGGGTTCTGATCCTGTTTGGGGGGCGGGATCCCAGGAAGCTGGGTCCTAAGCTGCATTTTCCTCAGACCTGAAGAGACTCAGTGTCTGTATTGCTGGGGGGGGGGGGGTATTCGACCAGGGATCTGATCCAGCAGGACCGAGCAGTGACAAGCCCCAGAGAGCAAGATCCAGCTGCCCTGAGAGCTGGGGAAGGGAACCAAAGTAACTGTGGGTACGTCTACACTACAGAGATAGTTCAAACTAACTTAGTTCGAATTAGTTAATTCGAACTAAGCTAATTCGAACTAACGCGTCTAGAACTAAAAACTAGTTCG